TAGTAGAGGAGGCAGGGATTCCTTTTCCATCAGGTGTAGAATAACCAGACATGGGTAGGCATATTGATGAAATAGGTGTCAGAGTCAGAGTTAGAAACGGCTTGTGCGGAAGCAATACTTATTCGGACGAATGTAGGTTCATCAGAAGTTGTTACTTGTTAGGCAATGATAGAGAAGGGGCTCGATGATAGCTAATGCCTTTGAAGGGAGTGAACGGTAGACCTTTGTAGATTTGATGACCAATGTTACAGCAACCATTTTGTCCATCTCTCAAAGAAATAGTACTGGATGGCATTTGACTGCAAGGTGACATATTTACCACGGTCCACGCAAGTGAAGATCAAATGCTCTGGAAGAAAATGTTGACAGCAGTATAGGTTGTTACACGTGTTTATTCATAAAATTATCTCCAGGGTAGTTTTATCCATAAAACTCGAAAGCGCAGCATACAAAAATCGAGCTACCGCGTTAGGGTCATGCAGTATGCGTCGTATTGCACTAATGGTAATCTCAGGTGGTCACGGTTGTATAAGTGAAATACTGATTACTCTCCATTAAGAATTTTACGGGTACATACAAAAAGTGTGGAACATCGAACAAGTGCAACTGCATGGTGTAATACACAGTAAGAATGGTCTGTAAAATAAGAAGAGGGCGTTCTATTGTGGATGCTGTTAATCATTTTCTTAGAGTTATTCGCGTCTGCTTTGAAGAAAATCTGTGTAACTAAGTGCCATTTTATCTGATAATACCATTGCCATTGAGGGCCTGGACAGATTGATGTTACAAAACATTTGCTCGAACATGGCGTTCGCGCACATGCAATCATTTTATTCCATGAGTGTTTTGAAAATCACACCAACGTCAAGCAGCTGTAGGTTAGGCGTCCTACCGAGGTCGAGGCTGTTTGGGGTTTTTTAAGAAGCTGTTTTCCGGCATCTCTACTTATAGTTAATCATCAATGTCTAATAATACCCACTAATTCCATGGCCATAGTAATGGCGGAATTTCAATAATATCACCTGAAGTTGGTAAACACTTGAATTGGGCTTGCTCCGTCTCCCTTTACAAATTTCAAATGTTGTGTTGCCATATGCTATTTTAATCGCTCGGATACGCAATCATTTTCTTAAGTAATTCCACTTCTTTGGTCGCCATTAACCGAAATATCACTATATCATCCAGCATAAAGCATCTCGGTTACTTGACGTAAATGTTCCTTGAAAAGGCACATTTCTGACGGTTATACAATTTGGATAACTAACATTTCACTCCCTTAATCTCAAAATCCTTTCCACAGACTGTTTTAATTTTAAGTCCTGCACATTTATCCTCGCACGTTAGTTGTATATTTCTCCAAGATTTGCAACGGAACATTTTATCGTGTTTGTGCTCTTCTTGTGCTTTCAGTGAAAGTTACTTTCCGATGGCCTAAATTAAGCAAAGTATTTATCGTTGATTTCATTGGTAACAAACAGATTGAAGGATGATTTCACTTTGCGTTCAGAATTCTAACTAACCATTATCACCCTCTACAAACTGTTCTAGGCAACATTGTACCTATTAGTTCCACGCGGCCAATATAGAGTGAATGGATTACTATTATTTTATCAGGATTCGATTTTCTAACTTCTCTCTTTCTTGTTAGTCTAAAATAAAGCAAAGATACATCAGTACGAAGACCGCGTGCTTTGTTTAAAATGCATTTTTCTTTACTTATTCTATGTGGCAGTATGAACGCCGTGTTGGCGTAAGTTTATGAAAACACTTCCACACGAGCGTATGCTGTTTACCTTGACAGTTTGACTGACGTTATTTGCCGCCTTAATGCTCGATACTGTTTAAATTAGGCGTTTAGCGTCCTGCATGTAGTGTACAGGATGGTTTTGTTTTCATAGCAATAATATAGATGTATACAAGTAAAATACCTCTTAAACATTAATAAGGATACATGCAAATTTTTGCTTACACAATCACGTCATGCTTTGAGGAAACTTTGTTCTGTACAGTAGATATACACCTACAATTCAAGGGTGACATAAATGTCACGAATGGCTGTGCTTTGGTGAGTCTGCTTGCGATTCAAAAGCGAATAAAGTTACTGTTTCTACATTTGAGTCATGCATTCTAGGACAACTTATTTTTGACAGTTTGACGCGTCATACTCTTATTAAAAATATCTGTGGGGTTCTCCTTCATGTCTTGCTCACAAGCCTTCTCTTGAACACCACACTGCACATAAGAGATTCTATGTCCGATACAAATATGTGGCTGCGACAAGCTCTTTACCACAACAGAACAGCGTGATTTCTATCACAATACGTGACTTAACTCTGCTACAGCTTATTAAACCAAGTCGTGATGCATACATCTTAAGCGGGATTCTCACTTGCGAAGGCGACGTCATTTCTTACACGGATCTTTAGCAGAATAGACATGAGGTCCGCATGCATGTGCCAGGAAGTTTGAATGGAATTCCCTTAAATTTGCTGATTAACGCCGAGATAGCTCTGCGGGTGGAAGCCCATTTCAATTTTGGAAATATTGGATGCATCACCTTCGAACCAGTACACACAGCTGGCATACTGAGAACTTATACGTTTACTATACCTATATTCACATATTTGATTAACTGACGTTCACTGACGGTACATCATTTATTCAGTTCACTTCGTTTGTTGCGTTCAAATTTGGTATCTTTAACTTAGAAAGACGGTGGTACGTTCATCTCTTCACACATTTGGAAAAAATATGTCGTGAGTTAGCTTCTGTGCGGTTTAGTAGAAATACAAAAATTATTTTTCCAAACGTTTTCTAATTAGACCAGTATGTTGCAGTCATCTGCAAATTAAACTGAATGCGATAATTAAGTCTGCATGTAAATACATATTTTAGACCCCAATTGAATTGATATTGATTCATTATACGTTACGGGTTGGATGTTCTAAAATCTATAAACGCTGATAATGGAAAAGCTTTTCGTTTTATTATAACACATAATATCATGAATTGCTTTTTCGATTTACTTTACTTATACCAAGTGCCAAGTTAATTCGTGGTGCATTTAAATCAACGTGGAACAGCAGCGTAGTCCCTGAACAATCCATTAATTCATGCTTTACATTTCAAATGCACCCAACAGCTAAAAAACCGTTGGGTAAGTTCACATCAACCTTATAGTACGAAATAATTACCGGGTTATGCAAACATTGTTTAGCTGTATTGCGAATCATATAATAAAACAAGTGTAAGACCACAATTGTTAAATTATCTAAATTGTGTGACGGCTTCAAGCATTAAATTTTGGTATACAATCTCAATCAACCTTTAGTGTGTTTAAGGCATTTATCCCGCCCTTCAGTTTTCCCAGCGCTTATTTGGCAAGCTGCAAGCTGTAAGCAATTAAGTCTAATTTAACAGAATTTAACAATTTTAGTTTTCATTAAAATTGGTCATCATCTCTGTGGATTTGGCAATTGGACCAAAGAGCTGAGTGTATTCAGCAGTGCATAAATAGGATGTTGCCTATGGTTTACTTTGAAACATGAATTGTTTTGCATTGTAACGAAAGAAACCAAATTGTGCCACACGACTGAAACAGATACTTGTGCCGCCAAGCAACTTTTGTCGGAATGCTGGAGCAACAGCTTTCCTTTCATAAATTCACCACAATAAAAGACAACATTGAAGTCCTTTTATTAAGCATGAAAATTCTGTCGACTTACACATAATCAGGGCCTCAAATCACAAACATATTTTTGTTTTTGATGATTTTTGGTGCTAGCAAGTATTGCCATCAAGAGTAGTGCAGGAAAAATTGTTTCCATTTTTCAGCAGTTCATTTGTTTTCATTGTGCACCGTCTCAAAAAATACCTGCATTTTAGTGTCCTTCCTTTCTGGGCCCAGTTCTACGGATATATGTAATCAGGTGAGCTCATCATAGCCAAATCTTTTACTTAGTCAGAAACAAATGGGTGTTTGTATATGGGTACCTCGTACACGTGTCGAAAATGGCCTATCACGTAAACTCGACACTATTTCCCTGTAATCAACATGAATCTAAGAAATGCTTTTAATCACTTAATTGTCAGCTAAATTACGCAAAAATGGCGGTGTATTGCATTAAACCATATGGCTAAACCGCGTTCTTCGCAACGCGGTGATGAGGATGCATGCAGAAAGTCCTTGTGAGTAGCATAGATGTATCTAAACTTTATGAACAAAATGCATCTGTCAAATGAAGCAACACAAAGTGAGCGTTGAAGTTTCCTTTTTATTTCTCGCGCACATTGAACTATATTAGCTTCCTATACTTTTTGTGTGTACACATCCCATTCCCACTTCTGTGATGTACATCCATTATTCGATGTCGTGCTTCTGTCGTTCACTGCTTTGGTCATACTTCAATTCTGGCATACCATGAACCAGTACCACTTTCTTCATCTCATTTTGACGTGACAAACTAGGGTTGGATTTCCGCTTCTGTCTTTCTGCCCTTGACCTGTCGGGAGAAATGCGGGCATTGACAGATGTGTTCACTAGCATGTGGCTTGCTAAGCAGATATCTTCCAGGTCACGCCTGTTGTCATACGTTGCTCGCAGTAACCGAGGTTCCACTAAGTGTGGAGATGATGGTCAAGCCTGACTGTTGTGACACAATAAGCGTTACTATTCACAATTACTGTACACACATTTAAGACTATAACTTTATTCATCCGTAATCGTCGCTAGAATGGAGATCTCAAATAGCGAAATGGATCTAATAATGTGTGGTATTTAACGCCACTTATCTGCACATCAGAGGCGTAGTGTTCAGTGGATCCAAGTTCTCCTGTCAGTATCCCGTGAATATTCCCGCATCTGTAATCTTGAAGGATAGGGATGAGTAATCAACGTCCACGCTGTATGGTAGGTATGAACGTGACTTCTTAACTGGAACTTCGCATTCTGAAAATTTGACAGGAATGCTGAAAATAATGTAAGCATCATTTGTACCTACTTCCTGCGTTTTCTACCACGTTCCATGGAACAAGTTGTGTCGCTGAAAGTAGCCTCCGACAATTCCAGTAATGCACGCTCCAGTTTTCAGCTTCAGATTTGTCATCTACAAAGCATTGTGTGCTTAACATGATAGATTTACCGGTACACATGTTCGCCCTTACATTACACAAAAGAGCTGATAATGGTGGCTGACTGTGAGCACCTGATCAAAACTGGGCATCAATGCCGTGGTGAAGGCGCATTTACGGTTCTCCTAGTTTTCCCAGTGCGATGCTCAAATGGGCTCAATAGGCACTTCCTGACTAAAGCTAAAGCCTTAAGCAGGAATAATGTAAGCAGCGAGCGCTCTTGCAAGCACTAATTCTGAACTGACCCTCAGGCAGTTAACAGGTCTCAAGGTCACCGGTCCATTTTGACTCGTTGGATTCTGTTATTGATTGCTGTACACAATATGTTCCCAGTTTAACTGTTTCACCTATCATCTGAAGCCCTTGTCCTTGTACATAGCTACCAACAGCTTTATGCAAGTTTTAGTTATCTACTATATAATTGTTGCGAATGACGATTTTTATCGAAAAGAAATTTCTTCGCAATTGTTCTCTTCATCTCTGAATGGGCATAGTTTATGAGTAAAATAATCTCTATAGTACTGCTTCTCAAATGGTGGTTCGCGGATGCCAGTGGTCCGGTAGCTATTTTCAGGGAATTCGCGTGATTTCCCAAAGAAATACAATTCTATTAGGAAAATTTATGGACGCGATCAGTCTATTTCACGAATTCATGACAAACATGCTGTGGAAATTTTAAATCAAGCCTAACGGTTTACATTATAAACATGTGCATTGCCCATGGAAACATAACCCCTTCCAAGGAGGAAGCTTGTTTTAGCAGGGAGTTAAAATGTGAGGGAAGGAGGCTCTCCAAGTTCGGAAAGAGCATTGGTTAATTTCATCGTGATGACATGGGCAGTTGCTGGATGGGTCATTCTTCGTCTGCTCAAGCTCACATAACCCAGGTTATATCCCTCGAGGGGCAGCGACAAGTACGTCATACGATAGGGCCCAATTTTGCCGTCATTTCATGTGTTACTATCCTCTGAAATAAGCCAAACTGAAGGAGAGGCCCGTTTACGGGATAGCTTCCACAAAAGCTCAGAAAAAATGCGCGGATGTTTCTGTGTTTAACGAATGTGCTCATCCGATTCCGCTAATTTGATGGCAACTACATCAGCGACATTACATAAGGGTAACAGTTTCCTTCACTATTTCACTTCTTTCAAATGCCAAATTATCATAACAACCAAATTCTTGGTAGTTAGACAAGTAACATCAAGAGGGATCATGGAGCGAAGAATGGAATAAAGCTAAATGTTTCACAGGAATAATCTTTGTCGAATTCAGATGCAGAAGTAGTTGGGTCATCTAATGTGACTTCTGGGCATGCAGCAACTGAGATTTGCGATGTTACTATACTACCTGATGTGATGTAATATAATTCTGATCCTATGTACCAGTTGGTAAGAGGCGGAAATACAACAACATTTATCTTCGTTTTGGATTTATGGAGTGCAATGATTGTCCACAAGGTGACTTGTGCAACAAAGTACTTCTGAACATGGTGCTTATTAGAATGCATCGGCATTTTGAAAAATTCATACGGACTGTAAAGACAGAAAAAAGCACTTGCAGTGCATGTGAGATGAACTATTGAATACTCAAACCTACAAGCTTCACGCGTCGCAGACTGTAAAATGAAACTACGGAAGCATCTTACATAGTTAGTTATCTTAATGCGCTGACAGCAGAACCGAGAATCGTATCCGGCCACGCATAAAAATGCATGGAGATTACCTAAGATTCTTCCTTTCAAAAAGCATTTCACAGATTGTCTCTGTGTGACTTATGATGCAAAGCAAACGATGTGTACCTTGTCATGGTAGGCAGCTATCGTTGTGCTCCTCCCATTTGCCACAACTTAGCTGCTTGAGATTTAATTCTCGTATTATATCTACACGAAGCGAAGTACGGAAACAGAGCGGAATGCATATACGAGGTTATAACTTTCCACAATAACACCCAGCATCAAACAAGTCAACGCTGCATGTCGGAACGAATTTTATCCAAGGTATTAAGACTTAATATGCTTGCATTTTCATGTAAGTACAACAGTCTTTACTTTTGCCAACATAAATGAACAGCTGTGCAAATTCGGTGTACAGCGATGGACTCTACCTCATTCTTATGTTATTATAGCCTAGTTCTGTAGATATGAAAAGCTCAGGGGTCCGTCGTGCTAGGTTACACTACAAAGAGGTGCACGTGTCGAAAAGTGGGAGAACACCTGTTCTATAGTGACACACGGCATTCTGTTGGCCGACGGCGTCTGACCAATGAGGTAACTACTCGACGATGCGCGTGTGCACCTAATCCATACTTTGAAACGCACCAACATGAAAATGCTTATGAACCAAGTTGCAACTGCTTATGAACCAATTTGAAATTGCTTAAGAACCAATTTGTTTTCCCTATTAACTAAGTTGACTCGGAAATGGTATACTTTCAACTCATATGCGACAGCGGAGCGTCACTCCTGCCCTGTGGACAAGCCAAGTTCATCAGCTTCCATTTGGAACCCTCGATCCTCCTTTACATTAACATGCCCCAATGAATGCACATTGCTACAGATTGGTCAACAGACCTCACTTGCCTGTAAACTATAGACCCTCTCCATCGATATCTGCTGCTTATGGGAGATCCGCCTACATCTTCCCTTTGCGTCAATTGTTGGAGCACCGTCACACATACTGGCGGCCCACAGTAGTCGTGTTGCTCGGCATCAAATTTGCCTTCGATTCGGTTGATCGATGTGTTCTTTGGAACTGTCTACTCAGGAAAAGTGTATGTGAGAAATATGTAAATATTATCCGAGCATTATAGGTGCGTAGCACGGGCAGAGTAAAGGCATACGGCAAGCTGCTGCCGCTCTTCAATATCTCAGGCGATGTGAGACAAGCATGCCCACTATCACCGTTCCTCTTCAATTTCGCTATTGAGGAAGTCATGGAATTGCATTTACAGGACACGACTTATATGTGGAGCTATTTCCAGGAGGACGAGATATTGACTTCGATTATGCTGACGACACCGTCTTCATTGGTGGCAGCTCCCAGAAGTGCCAAGCTGCACTGGACAGATTAGCGCTGGATGTCAGCCGCTTCGGGCTTTGCTTTGCATCATCGAAGTGCAAAGTGTTGACTCGGAGATGTTGGAGGAGATAAGCGCTAAGCGAATCATGTTGGGAAAGCGCCAATATTCTGGGGGTGTGATACGGTGGAAAGGTGGAACTGTAGTTGGAACGAGACCACATAGGAGAGAAAGCGTAATAGTGGGACTAAGATGTCGGATGTCTTAAGCAATTGCATCCAAACCCCTATTCACCCCGCTGGATGCAGCAGGTAGGGCACGGTTTATTGTCATCTGCGGCGGCGACAGCATCAGAAATTCGTTTGACGTAAGTTTCATAGTATGCGTGGGCAGAATACTGTCAGGTTGCCCAGGCCTAGACAGTAGAACGATTAGGGTTCGCAACCAAAGGATTTGGTTGAAAAAACTGACCGCAAGGGAGCGGGTTTGGCGTTGGTCTACGAGGAGTCTATTATAAGGAATAAAGAGCTATCGTAATTCCATCCCCCAACTTGGAGGACCAGGAAGCTGAGATTGTTTGGCCTCTAACCATTGACCAATCTGGTATGAGTAGCTCGGAAGGTGCACAAAAGCAACCCGCCAGCATAGCTCAATGAAGCACTGAAGCACACAAACCATTGTAACATGGTAACTTCCAGCCTAATTGCGAAATATTTGTGCAAAAATGACCACAACATAGATGACAGTAGCAGGGCTTGCACTGAATCCAACTGCATTAAGCACTTTCTCTAAACAAAAGAAAGGGATCAAGAATTCCAATTGCTTCACAGTCCCCCAAAAGCCATGGAATATTTGATTCTAGTTGTTATCACCAAAGATCGGAGGAGTCCTAGCTCCACCGACCCTAGGCCTCTGGTCAAAGTATCAAACGATGGAACATCAGTAACCTCGGTAACACGAGCACTTCTGATGGACTGACGCAGGGCCCAGCAACTACGTTTTCCGCCCGGGGTGATGGTGTAAATTTGCCCCCCCCCCTTGGAAGAATAGGCGCATGAAGCCTGCATAAGCTGCTTAAGGTAAGGTGCATATTAGTTGCGGATGAAATGGATTATAGTTTGGGGCCCTGAGTTGAATGTGGTGAAGGTGCTAATAATGGGACCGCTGAAGATATCGCCCATTTAATTTACTATCGAAAAATCGACGGTACTAAAAATTCCCCCTTGTTACATGGTGCCTAGTGATGACACGCCCGCCGATCCGCACGCTGCGACGCCGCGTACGCAGTAACACTTCAGAGCTCTAGTAAGATAGTTCTGTTTTACTCCTGTTGGCTCTTGTGCCGAAGTGGATCCTGCATGTGCTAAATGAACAGCTTTCCACTTCCCAAGCCAGCCGTTGTTGCGCAAGTTGCCAGCATCCTCGATAGTTAAGCAGCTATTTATAGAAGTGGCTTAATACCACATTCAGACTTCCACTGCCGTACTATTATCCACGATTGTTTCGGTTAACAGAGACTATCACAATCAGCTGTATACAGCAAACGCAGTGCGTGCACAGTTCCTCATCAACCTCAAGTTAAGCAATGTGCAACAGCGTGTGCTCCTTAATCCTTGCAAACGAGTACTCTGATGTTATGGTAATTGTTGTGTCGCCATTGACGCCCTCTCCCCACGACCGCAAGAAGCAATGGAACAATGAAACAATGGTTTATTACTGGTAAAAAAGCATCGCTTAACCAGTCTCATGGGATGGAAATTATTGCGAAAATCAATTGCATAATAAAGTGAAGAGCGTTGTGGTGGACTCATTATAGACTTTTTTGAAATAGCGGTGATGTTCGCGTATTAAACGTATAAATCCATCAATCCATTGGTTAGGCTTTTGGCAAGACACCGTTTAATTGCTTTTTGTAGCCCCTGGCTAACAGGTCATAAAATGAATTGTAAATGAGACAATACATCGTCAACACGTTTTTTGAATATCACCAGATTGGGAGCAGATAAGACAAAAGTAGGGAGGGCGTCCTAGGGCTGGTACACGCGGAGTTAAAGAAATT